GACAGCCTATAGGGTCTTAGTTGAATAAATTTAGATAGCGATCTTATTGGTTCTCATTTGGCAAACGTTGGAAACATTTGGCAAAGGTTGGGTAATTATGGCAAAAGAAAAAGACTATCCTTGTAACAAACGAGTCTCCAAATGCATATTTTAAAAAACCTTTTTAACTTGGAAACAGAATAATGAGACTCGTCTATTACAGTACAATTTAACTTCAATTAATTCAATGATATTCGTAGTTTTGAGATCTGAAATAAAGTGTTTGACCCCTCCAGGGGCGTAAGGGGCAAGGCGGGGCAGTGACACGGGGCCCCCAACCTCAGGGGGCCCCCGAATCGTTACCAGAAAAATTTCAATTGAACTGAACTTTGAAAATTTCTTCCATTTTCAAAATAAATAGAGAGAAATTCGAAAGCTGTATGCGAAAATGTAAGCTTAATGTCAATAAACATGATCAAACCTAACCAGTTTAGATTGCAGTGGGGCCACATTTTTTTATTTGCCCCATGTATTTAAGTAGTAGATTTATCCGTTTATATTGTCAACCACCCCAAAGAATATTCAAATCTAAATAAGTATTATTTTATATTATACATTAAGGGCAGGTAAAGGTAAACAAAGTTAAGACTCTTAGGGTATCTGACTCTTGAAATTATTTCCGAGTGTGACCAAGTAGATACTTAACACTGAGTGAAGTGCTTATCCTTTTCAAAGATGAAGAAAAGTATAGATATAGTACGTGACTTTTAGGCTCACGTACAAAGGCAATTTGGAATGTACGAAGGAAGATCACGTCATATTTTTTTGACGAGCCCACATATATCTTGGTAAATAAAAGATGGCAGTGGGCGGGGCACATAGCTCGAAGAGCTGATGGCCGCTGGGGCAAGAAAGTTCTTGAGTGGCGTCCACGAGCCGGAAGACGTAGCGTGGGCAGGCCTCCCACTAGGTGGACCGACGATCTGTTGAAGGTCGCGGGAGGTGCCTAGATGCGAGCGGCGCAGGACCGTTCTTTGTTGAAATCCTTGGGGAGGCCTTTGTCCAGCAGTCTTTCGGCTGAAACGAACGAACGAACGAAATAAAAGATAAACACTCCCCAAGGTTGGAAATGAAGGAATTGATTTACGATGACTTAGAATATTCAAAAATTTTAAGTACAGTCGCCTAGGGTAACTTTAAACAGTAAAAACTAATTCATTACAGTACAAATAATATTTTAATTACCTGAATTTGCTAAATTTTAGAACTACCTGAATTTCAGAGAAAACATTAATAAATGCATTAAAAAAAATGATTCGTTTTGAAAATTTTTATTGCACAAAATAAGCCTGAAATTCAATTACTTAATGTGACTGTGTTTCATCATCATCATCATCATTTCAGCCACAGGACGTCCACTGCTGAACATAGGCCTCCCCCAATGACTTCCACATCGCACGGTTGGTAGCGGCCTGCATCCAGCGCCTTCCCGCTACCTTTATCAGGTCGTCGGTCCACCTTGTGGGTGGACGTCCCACACTGCGTTTTCCGGTACGTGGCCTCCATTCCAGAACCTTGCTGCCCCATCGGCCGTCAGTTCTGCGTACTATGTGCCCTGCCCACTGCCACTTCAGCTTGCTGATCCGTCGGGCTATGTCAGCGACTTTAGTTCGTTTACGGATCTCCTCATTTCTGATTCGATCTCGTAAAGAAACAACGAGCATAGCCCTCTCCATACTCGTAGCACGCTGTGCAACTTTGAGCTTCTGACTGTGTTTATTAATACATAAAATACTCGTAATTATGAATATTCAAAAATAGTGAAGTCATAAAAGCTAGTTTCCGAGCTACAATAAGCAAATGGAATGAATGCAAAATTTCAAGATTGCCTTTTTTGTTTTGCTGTAATAGTGCCTTCCAGCCAGATACCACAACTGAAGAATGTAAGCACCCGACTGTTTATTCTTTGCTTAATGAACATTAAATTTATAAACACCCAACAGCCTTTCGTTTCAGTAGTGTTTACGTTGGGTAAATTTTAAATAGCAATATCCGCCGGTGGATACCTATCCTTGGGGATAGAGGGTCTTATGGAGTAGTTTGACAAATATTTTATGTACATTCTGTCGAGTTTTTATTTTGACACGACTAACCCCTGTATTCACAAACATTACTTTGAGTTCTTACAGTGCGCGTGGACGCACAGGGTGACACACGAATCACAGAGCTCTATTCAACGCTGCAGCTGTGCGTTCGATTAGCTACTTCACTTACCTAAGCAAGCAGGTTAATAGACATAATGGGGAGTAAAAATGTCTTAACCTTTAAAACTTAGGATAATACGGGAACTCGCGAATTAAAATTAAAAAATAATTAAGATGAAGTTGAATTATTAAATTGTTCTATAGAGCTTTTTAAAAAAAATTGGATGCTTATCTTATTTTAGGTTGTTCTCTCTGCCGACGTTAATGGTCTCTAAAATATAATCTTTCAGGTTTTCGGTCATCGGCTTTGTCGAAATTGTACCTAATCTCTAAAATGGACTAAGTCTTCACTGGATGTATTTTTGTTGACGACAGCTAGAGCCGTAGCCAGGACACATTACCACTTCTTTGCGTCCCGCAGTCGGATAAAAACGCATTGGCACAGATTCAAAAAGAAAAAAATAAATTTTATTCATCATCATCATCTTAGCCACATGACGTCCACTGCTGAACATAGGCCTCCCTCAATGCTTTTTTCCATGGAAAGTTTAATGTCGAGTGAAAATAATCTAAATTGCTCGCATAGTATCGAATTCTCGATCGATTGCTAATCCTTTTCGTTAGTCTCATCTTAGCCTCCTTTTAAACAATGATTTGGAGCGACGGAAGGACACCAGGCTTACAGATTCAAATTGTATCAAAACTTACCAAAGTCTTAACGAGATCCGTTTCAAGTTATACAAAGTCTGAGATATTATCAATTGTTAAACGTCTTTTATCTATAAAAATAATCAGTTACACGTTTTGGCACATATAATCTTTATCATTTCAGCCACAGGACGTCCACAGCTGAACATAGGCTTCCTCCAAGTTTTGGCACATTATTAGACACAAAACAAATTGCGCCTCGAAGACTCATTAGTTTTACTTCATGTATTATAAAATTTCTTAACTAGTAAAAATTCCTTAGAAGAAAATATTAAAAGTGACTTTAGATAAAGTAATTACTTGCTTCTGAAATATATTGTGTTAACAACGGACAACTACGGAACCCTACACTGCGCGTGGCATGACACGCACTGGGCTATTTTTTAAATAGATACTCGTAGAGTGATTCAAGAGGAAGGTTTTTAGGTACCTGTAATAAATTGTACCTGTGCGAAGCAGGGGCGGGTCGCTAGTAAAAAATAAAATCTTTGTTGACTGCTGCTTAGTAAATTAATTAGTAGTCGGATTGACTTCTCTATATTTTCTGTAGTTTTTAACAGTTATGTAATTGTAATGTTGTTTATTTAGCGTAGGTACCTTTTTCTAATCTGGTTCTAGGAATTTTGTCTACCAATGGAAGTAGGTGGATTAAGGACATCGCACACTTATCGACCTGGAAAGAGATCGTAACCATATCAACTCGAGGCGGTCAGTATTCTTTGTATGAACTCCATACTGCAACGCACGCTTATCCGCACCGTAACGTAAACGCTTCTCCTCGCGGTTGACAGCGCGCGATTGGCGATGACAGCTCGCGAAATAAGATACGTTGTTGATCCCTTTCCGAGTTGATAAGTCAGCTATGGCCTTTAGCCGGTATAACTAAATCCGCGTGTATTTAGATAATACTAAGCTTACACGAGCATGGACATTTAGTTAAATTCAAGGCGTAATTACTAGCAAAATTCTGAGAAATATTGGCGCGTCTTTAGACTAATCCATTGCCAATTTTCCCTTTAAATGGGATGTTTGAAAGCGATTAGCGAATTACTTGGAAGCGATCACAACTGTTCATTTATAAGAAACAAAATTGGGTCTCGGTTATGAACGCTATTATGCCAATATTGCCTGTAACTTCGTAACACAGATAAATCTTTAACTTACATTACCTAAGTATCGTATGATCCATCTAAGATAGAGTCTCGCGTTTCCACTAGATCACTAAAGCAATCAATGAAAAAGATTGACTTTTTATTTTCTTACCTCGATTTAATGGGAGTATTAATGTGTTTTACGAAAGTTGAGTAGGTTTTTTTGTATTAATTACCCTTAAAAAAATTTGTCAATCAATAAACTTTTTATTTAAAAACTATAAATTGGTAGATTTTAGTCTGCATTTCAAATGAATTGAATGAATACGGACGCCCTCTGCCACATCTAGGGGACATAGGATCTTAAGTCATTTCAATTGATGCACCTAACTTTTGTGCTAAACTTTTTAATTCAACTAATGGTGACTGAGTTTGTTTCGGCGCCTTCTGAGCATTATTATCTGCAAGCTCTAGTTGGTCACAAAAGAGCCCTTTATGGTATCTTTTAAACATAAAACGGAGGCCCTTATTTGGAAGAAAATATTTCATTAATTCAGACTAAAATATTTATTTTATCCAAATAGCAAATATTTAAAGCACTTTTATACGTGACAGTATAACTTAACCCTACCACTTCTCTCGCACAATATGTGGGCCAGTAGGTACTGAAAAGAAGCAACGCAAGAAACTCACTTACTTTCGTCATTCACTGACAAAGTTTGCTAATTTATCGGCATAATTAGAAGTATTTACGTGCACACACTTCCCGCAATCACACCTCTTCATACTCCATCATACATTTCATACAATTCTCTTAGCCATTCGGATGATTATTCCCAAAGGCATGCGCAATGGATCCCGAACCCAACTCCATTCAGTATTATCGCCGCTCTTCGAACGCTAGGTGGGCTTTGTCGTACAAACTTCGGCAAGTTTCGCGAACTTTTCAAAGTGTCAGTGTACTTTATTAAGTGTAGTTATAATTTAAGTGGATTAAGTGCTAAGAAACTGTGTAGTTAGTGGTTAAATGTGTGTGTAATTCGGTGTTAAGTTTAAGTAATGTGTTTGAGTTCAAAAGTTTTTAACTAAGTAAGTACTTACTGTTAAAATTTACTAACTTTCTGAGTTTATTTATTTATTTTGGAAGTAAGAAGTAGGTACAGACTTTTCTTAAATTCAGGTTACCTACTTCAATCCGTTTTCTAGTAGAATTTTAAATCCAAACTTATAATACAACGTGAAAGCAAAACTGTTTCCTAAATTCTCTCAACTTACGAAATTATTGAAATGCTACAAGACATTGGGGAGAATTTCAATAAAAATTGTAACAGAAATAAATATCAGGACCTTGTAAATAGTAGTAGAAGTAAAATACATACACTTACCTTTTCTAGGAAATAAAATATAAAACTTTTGTTCTATGTTCTGCGGGGAAAGTTTCAACAAATAGTAAGTCATGGAAGTTGGTCAAAAGTGTAAGAAAATGGTTATAATTTACAGCCGGAAAAAATTATCCGCAACACATTTTTAAATTTATTTAATGAACTTAATTATGTATCTTAATGTACCTAATTGGTATGCCTATTTTATTTACTTTTAAAATCTGAGTTATTAAAACGAAAAGTTTAGTGAAAAGGTGAATTTTTTGGTGATCCAGACGTATATTTCTACATTAAATAAGAAAAAAAGAGTTCAGTCAGCCAGATCTGCTACTGTTATCTAGATTTTAAAATTAGAGACTGCATACGCACTTCTGTGAGTTACGACGATAATTTTTTGCTGACAAATATTATCGCAGACCTAAAACAATTTATTTTAATTTAGGCTAGCCTCAGTGCGAGTAGGTAGCGCACTAATTTTTCCATTATGATATTACTATCCCTCTTTTATAAATTAGAGTTCGACGTATATTTGAAATAACTTACCGAGTACTTACGCGAGTGTTAAAAACCATTATGCGCTTAGCTAGGTATTTTTGTTGAGTTATTTTTATTTACAGGTTATTTTGAATTAACATAAAATTCATTACTGATAGCGAAAGAGTTCTAATTTGATTCTTGCCATTGAAGTGACGATAGGAACTTTTAATAGGCAATTTAATTTTCGGAGCAAAATTTAATCTTCAGGTAATTGTTGTGAAAGATAAAGTTCGTACCTACTTAAAATTCTTCAGTTGACACCTCAGTCTTCTTCTGACAAGTAATTTTGAGTGTCTCAAATATATTGTTAAGAAGTTAAGAACACATTAAAACTCAAATTGACGTGTGTGAATATTTCACGATACAAGAGAATGTGTGGGGAGTTTTAGATGGCTGACAGTACTAATCAGTTGTTTGACATACTTTTTATGAGCTTTCGACAATTACAATTTTATTTTACAATGTATCGGAGATTTTGTTAAGTAATATGGACAAAATTTGTTTGTTTTTTATGAGCTTGCTCTAGATATAAATTTCACTCAGGGGGTGCAGTTGCGATCTAAAAAGTGAGCTAGCCTTGAAGATGCTTGTTCATGCGTGTCTTGAAGGCTTAGAGCTGTAAGAAAGGCTGGCAGTGAAATCAATACTTTATGCGTGGATCCCGTTTTACCCTTTGGGGTAGAGTTTCGTAAAATTCGTTCTTAGTGTAGCACCTCAGTTCTAAAAGGAACCCCCATGCAAAATTTTAGACTCCTAGCACTTGTAGTTTCTGAGATTTCGTGATGAGTGAGTCAGTCAGTTAGTCAATCAGTGACCTTTCGCTTTTATAAATAGATAGATTAATTACAAATTAAACAATAAATAAGAATTATTTTAATTCTCAGATTTATTCAAGTTATTTAAAATTTACAATTTGGGTTTTTAGGTTTTTATTTTTGCCATTTGACGTTTCAGAATCGTAGTATAGTCGTAAGGCGTAGGCGACCTGTCATAAGTGTGACGCAAAGAAGTTAGTTTCATACGATTTGACAGCTCTCGCTTAGACACTTCTCTCCCCAAATGTCTTGTAGGATTTGTGCTACAAGCTTATGGGATTTGGCACTACTTCGCCAGCGGACTGTCGCTCTAATGATCAAAGCAATTAGTACAGTTTCCTTTGTCGTATTGTTGGAATAATCATTAGGACTTGATAGAGATTTCTATTGCTTTTTGATTACTAGGTATGTGAGTGGATAATAAAAGACAATTATATCACTGGTAATTGAATAAGTAAAAACTTATTTTTTTCTAGGATTCGTTATGATTGATTAGGATTGAATGTAACTTAGTGTAAAATTAACAAGATTAAAAAAATAAGCGTTTGGTATTTCTATGTTTTAATTTTCTTTTAAATGTGGTAACGACATCAGATCAAGTTTCAAAAGTGTCAACTTACAAAGTTAATGAGGCTCTTTTTCCATAAAAATGTAGTCTTCTACTTATCGTGTCGACAACAAACCTACACAGTGTCAGCCCAAAACTCCGCTACAAGAGTGGCGTTGTCAGCAGCATTCATTAAATCCCTCAGGAGAGTGCAGTTGCTCGGGCACTCAGGGCATGACAACAGTGCTTCATCGACTGTAGAGTGAACGTAGAGTGTTATGTGCGATTGGCTGTTCTTTCTAAAATAATGAAATAAAAATATCCAAGCGTTTTTAAAATATAATTGACAAGAATTAATAAATAAATTTCGCTGGCAGAACCAGATCTTTGCCGTCCGCGACGTAATTTTGTTAGTGCACTGGCAGTATGCCAGTTTCTCGCCTCTAAGAAGTAAATGAAATTAAGAAATAAGCTATTTTATGTAGTGAGATAATATTTAAACACTACAGGATCAATACTGCGCCATACGTGCCCAAACAACTGCTCGCAGGAAGATTAAATGGGGTTATTCCGTATTCGACCCACAACAACTCAACCCACTCATTATTTTTTCCTTACTCAACCCGATTTTGTTCCTTACTCTACCCACAACAAATTTTTAATTTTATGTTCCTTATTCAACCCAAAAAAATTCCTAGCTCAACCTATTTTAAAACCACATAAAAAATATAAGATTTTTATGTACGGTCAGAATAAAAATACATTTTTTAGAAATTTAAGCTCAGTTAGTTACCTTTTGTGTTAAGATCGTTCTATTAAATAAAACTGCAGGAGTTGTGATACAATAATATTTTGAAAAATATTTTTCACAAAAGGACACAAATCAAATAATGACTAATAAATTATAATCTACTATAAATCCACTATGAATCTACTATAAATCAAACGACTGTGATTTTTTATTAAATCAGTATAACCAAGCTATGATTAAACGAATGCTACTGACAACGCCACTCTTTTAGCGGAGTTTTGGACTGACACTGTATAGGTTTGTTGTCGACAAGACAAGAAGAAAAATACTGAGCGATAAAAACATTGCGAACTGGGAATGCTTAAATGAAGAAGCAATTTTGTTGTAGAGTTTATTCCAACATCTCGTACTTACTGCTGAAATTCTAGTAAAACTTTAATTAAAACTGAATGTACGCCATAAAACTTAAGTTTTGAAGATAGCTAAGTACTTAGGCTGAGTTGCACCACTAAACGTTAACGGTAACTATAACGATAACTGGTGCTTTTTGTATGGACTTTGACAGATCTTTGACGTTTGTCAAAGTTAAAGTAAGATGGTGCAACCCATCCTTAGTTTACAGTCGTCATTTCAACGAGTTGGTAAATTTTTAAAAGAAAATACTTCATCATCAATTCAAACCTTAAACTTAAGCAGAACTTTTACTGAATTAGAAACGGTAATTATAGTAAGACTAAATTTTAATTTAATATTTTTCTAATTTATGTGTTTATTTAGGTAGAGCTACAGAATAAAATATGTCTTAGTAGGTACATAATAATAGCCAAGGTTGAATTTAAAACGAAAGGTACTAAATTTGCCTGCGTAACGTTTTCTTTCCGAAAATAAATCCGATGTTGCGTAACGTTTACCAACTTTTCGAACAACTTTACACATTTATTTTTCGCTGTACTTTACATTTTCTAAATGAAGTAAGCTTAACCTTCAAATGTTGGTTAATGCAACATTAAGTTAGATTTATTGCTAAAGTTACTTTATAGCTAATCGCGATAGATTGGTATTTCGCTAAGTTTCAGCCAAACAACTTAATCACTAATAACAGTTAATTAGTATAGTAATTAACACGTATCGTTAAATCCACATCGTTAAGCCCAATTATTTGTTTGGGTTTTCGACGTTGTTTGACTACACGAAAATACGAGTGAAACTAATATATCTACACGTATGTTGTGTCTCTAATGTAGCACGTAGCTCCGAGACCGTATCAATTGATGATTGATGATTATCAATTGACCTAAAGACTGGTAATATGTAATTACTCCCTTACTAACAAAAAGTTACACACTTGTTGAAAACTGTTTTAAAATGACATTTCCATACTAAACGTCACTTTAAAACGCTGTTCAACGAGTAAGTAAGTAACGTGTATGTTTTATTAGTGAGGTGGTTACATTGTACCGGTAAATAATGAAGGTAATGAAACTCAAGCCAATCTTATACTCAACTCGATGAGATGACGATTGAAATGTTTGATCTATAGAGTCCAGGTAGTTTTTTGTACATCTTTGTTCAAGGCTATCGTTTTTAATGTTCATAAAAAATGTTTAATATCATAATATAGAAATGTCAATCATGAAGTTAGGCTATTGTAAACCTGCTGAAAGCCAAAAGTCAGATAGGTAAAAGGTGAGGCCTAAGTGATAGAAGTCCCTACAGAATCTAGGTCGGGTTTGTACCTTTGAATGATGTTCTATTTGTTGCTGATCGATAGACACGCATATTTGTATGAAGGTCAAGGGTGAAGTTCATACCTGAAATAGATAATGATTAGTTAAAGCCCAATCGTTATTGTTTCTAATAATTATAGGATATGATAGGCTTGAGCTGTAATTATACATACAATTCCAATCGATAACAATCACTAAATTGCTTGAAGGGTTACTACCTGGTACAACCTACAAAGTGTAAAATAAGTGACTGACTGACTGACTGACTGACTGACATAGTGATCTATCAACGCACAGCCCAAACCACTGGACGGATCGGACTGAAATTTG